AAAGAATACACAAGCAACGTATACCCTTAATGGAAACGAATTAGGGATAACAACACACGAAAAGGACTTGGGAATTGTTATAGACAACAAACAATGCAACAATGTGCAATGTCAATCAGCAGTGGCCAAGGCCAGTAAGGTATTGTCATGCATGAAAAAGGGCATTCATTCTCGGGACAAGAATATAATTTTGCCTCTTTATAAATCACTGGTAAGACCCCATATTGAATATGCTGTGCAATTTTGGGCACCTGTTCTAAGAAGGATATTATGGCACTAGAAAAAGTGCAGAGGCGGGCTACAAAATTAATAAAAGGAATGGAACATATCGGCTATGAAGAAAGGTTAACAAATTTAAACCTATTTAGTTTAGAAAAACGTCGCCTGAGAGGGGATATGATAACATTATACAAATATATTTGGGGCCAATACAAACCATTGTGTGGAAATCTATTCACAAACCGGACTTTACATAGGACACGAGGCTATGCGTTTAGACTGGAAGAAAGAAGATTTTGTCTAAGGCAAAGGAAAGGTTTTTTTACTGTAAGAACAATCAGGATGTGGAATTCTCTGCCTGAAGAAGTGGTTTTATCAGAGTCCATACAGATGTTCAAACGGCTACTAGATGCATACTTGCAAGAACAGAATATTTAAGGATATAATCTTTCAATGTAGGGTAATAACCGCTTGATCCAAGGATAAATCTGACTGCCATTCTGGGGTCAAGAAGGAATTTTTTTCCTAGCTTGTTGCAAAATTGTGCTTCAAACTGGGTTTTTTTGCCTTCTTTTGGATCAACAGCAAAAAACAAATGTGAGGAAGGCTGAACTTGATGGACGCAAGTCTCTTTTCAGCTATGTAACTATGTAACTATGTAACTATATTTTAAAAGGGAAAAACATTAATTTAGTTTCTCTCCTTATAGAGTCCAAAGACATTATTGATATCAAGTCCTATACGTTTTGGGATTTGTCACTCATCCTTAAAGCCAGAGACCCTGGGCTAAACCAGAATCTATCAATTTACAGAATTTGTACTGTTTTTTTTTTTTTGTCTCTACAGAGACATAATTTGCTCCAATTTCCCTCGTCGTAGGGAGGAATCGGACTACCATAAAAACTGACTGGGATCATTTAAACACAGATCTTTTTTTGCTGGCATTTTTCAAGGATCAAGTTCAAAGATCTGAACAATCTCAGACTTACAGGAAAAAGCCTCCTTAGAACAACATACTGACGTCATCATAGCAGCTACTTGATTTTTTGCGGGTTTATTTGTCCTAGAGAGTTCACAGTTGCTAAGTTTTCACATTCCAGTAAGTGCCTTAAAAAACTAAATTTAGTAAAGAAAATAGATCACTGTATTCTGTCTCTCAAACACACAAAAGGCTAGTCAAACAGGTCCCCTGGTCGATATTCCATTTCATCCATCTGGTTCTAAATGGTGACCAGTAAAAAAACGAAATGTTCTCTCTCAGTCCCTTGTAGGCAAATCCCCTGATTCTACTTTTCTATTTTTGCAAGTTGCTCCTCTCCCTACACCTAACTTTTTCCTCTATATTAGGCAGGGCCGGACTGGGGATACAAAGCAGCCCTGGACAAAAAAATTTGGCCAGCCCCATAAGTCACTGCGCCATATATTGTCGCGTGTAATATGTAAGGCTATGTCTTGCCAGGACAGATGATTGAGTAATATATATATATATATATATATATATATATATATATATATATATTTATATATATTGCTTTTTCTAATATAAAATATTGGTCCTTTAAGGGTAAAACGTTTAATTATACAGTAAGCATACTCACATGCAGACACAGGCAATTTCACTGACATTTCAATGACAACCACAAGCTTACTGATACACAGCCTCATAGACAAACAATCTTACTGATATACATCAGCTCATTGACATAAAAACACAAGCTCACTCACTAGCAGGCACACGCATGCAAGCAAGCTCACTCGCTAGCAGACGCACACACACAGCTTAATGTGGTGGTACTGGTGTCTATAGCATGTCCCTACAGGCTTTTCAACGTAAACACTGACTTTTCAGACAAAAGGCAGTGTTTACATTGCTTCAAAGTGACACTGCTAGTGAAAGTCACTAAGACGGTCACTAGAGGTGCTTCCCTTGTTAGTGCACCTATATTCAGGGCCTCCACATTCTGTAGGTGCTGAAGGTTCCCCATAGAGATACATTGATTCAATGCATCTCTATGAGGAGATGCTGATTGGAGTGGCGTTTTGCAGCCAATCCTATGGCAAAGCATTGGATTAGCTGAGATCATCAAGCTTGATGATCTCAGCTATAGAGGCAGGGCCAGTCGAGGGGAGACCAGCACGCTGCGTGGGGAAAAAAAGGTGAGCAAAAACACTATTTTTAAACACACATTTACACCATGACAGACACAGAAACACACATATACCATGACAGATACACACCCCATGACAGACACACACACACACCATGACAGACCATGACACAGACAGACACACACCATGACACAGACAGACACACACCATGACGGACATACAGACACACCATGACAGACAGACACACACACCCCATGACAGACAGACACACACACACCCCATGAATGACAGACAGACAAACACACACCCCATGATGGACAGACAGACACACACACATACCCCATGATGGACAGACAGACACACACACACACACACACACCCCATGACGGACAGACAGACACACACACACACACCATACAGACAGACACCATGACACAGACAGACACACACACACCATACAG